GATCGCAAACCTGAGCTTCATTTTGGCCATTCATTGTCTCCGTCTAAAGCAGATCACCAGGGTTGCACCCTCACTCCTCTCTCCACAGGGGAAGGAGGCCGACCTGACCTCAATCGTAACAATAGCTACTATTTATAAAATACATTAATGAGCCAGGTACTTTGTTTAAGGGCTGGTGATTTAACAGTAGCAATAGTAATGGCTACCACACACTGAATATTCACTTTGTGCAACATGCACATAGTAAGGACCTTGTGTGACCTGTACATGGCAGTGACCCAGCCACTGAGGATCCACGTGTATTTCTAAGTCATTTTGTGGCCAAGTCCTTTAGTTTCTGAGGTCTCCCTATCCCTTCTCGATGAGAGCAGGGATCTCAGGCCCTTTCAGCACTAGACAGCAAACCCACAACTTAGCAAACTCTAACTTCACTCCAACAGGCAAATTCCCAGAGGAAAAAGAACAGCCAATAAATAAACTCTTCAGACAGAAAAGCGCCGAGCATCCAAGAGATTCTGGACAGTGTTTCTGGAAATGTTCTACTTTAGGTTTAAAAGAAAACTTTTGAAATGATTAAGTTATTTAGGATCTCAATCTTCCAAAGTTTGAGGAGCTAACACACTGAGAAATTTAATTTAGATTTCCTTAACACACTCTCTCATGATAAGAGAGCATTCAGTATATCAGCCTATAAATGCTATGCAATAGGAGGGCCAAATTGCAACACAGAATGGGAGAAATTTGTCATTTTGAAATGCTAAGGGAATTCTTACTAACAGCTTTCTCATCTTGTAAAGCTATTATTTTCCTGAACGATAATATGATTTATAAATCTCAGCTGAGTTTTATACTTTTGATGGGAACAGACTTAAAGTGAAATGCATTTTCTCAGAATATAAAAGAAACATCTTCTGCAACCAAGCGTATCAAAGCCTTGGTCTCTGCAGGCATCTCGGTAGGTGAATGTTGGTCTTCTTCAGAGTTCTGGGCTTAGCTTCACTTCTTTCTCTACACAGTTTCCCTGGGTGACATCAGCCACTCTGAAAGCTTCAGCTATTACTGCTGCCTCAATAACCTCCATATGCACACTCCCCACCCCTCGCATCTCTCCTGAGTTACAGGCCCCTGTGTGAAACTCCCCACTGGGCAGACCACTGTCATATCCTACAGACAGCTCGATCTCGAACTCTCTCCTTTTCCCCAAGCCCTGTTTCTTCCCCAGAACTATGGTGATAGTGATGTCTATAGAAATAAGTAAGATACAGTTCCTGATCTCAGAAATCTAATAATCTAGCATAGGAGATAGAAAAGCAAGCAGGTAATTACAATGTAGGTTAACCAGTACTGTGGTAGGAGAAACCCAAGGGGCTGTGGCCATGGTTCTCATAGGAGGGGCACCCAGTCATCTGAAAGGAAGTATCATCTTAGTTCAGCATAAGTTAGTAACTGGTGTGTGTGTGTGTAGTGTGGTGTGTTGAAGAGTCATGAGGAAGGACAGAAGAAGTCCTGTGGACAGAGGCCCAGAGGTATAAGACCATGAAGACAGATATAGGCCATGGCTTGCATAGCGTGCTCTAGAAAGACTGGATAGAGATGAGGCGAAATGATCAGGGCCAGATCAGAACAAGCCTTGTATCCCACATCTGGTCTGCACAGAGTCTGAAATCCAAAGGGCGTGATACAGAGGGCTGACCAAGCACAGGCATGGACATGTTTGCTCAGGCTGTTCATGGTGATCCTGACCCAGGCTCCAGGCAGACCCGCCAAAAGCTCAGTGCTCCACAGTGTGTTCCATGAGATGATCCAAGAAAATCGATCCAGGAAAATTAATTTGGGGTTACATTTCATAATACTTACCTCACAGGGCAATTGTACTTTTTATACCTAATCTTTAATCCTTACAACCACTCTGAGCATAAGACAAACAATGGACTTTGGAGGTAGACAGGAGGAACTCCAAAGCCTTAGGCATGTTACTCTAACCTCGGTCATTCTCACCTGCAAGATAAGGGTGAAAATAACCACAAGCCTTCATCTCAATCCCTCTGAAAACAAGAACATTTTTAAGTTTGCCAAACTTGACGTAAAGTGACAGGAAGCTCCTTATAGTTTTACTTACCCTCTTAGTATAAATATTCTTAAAATTTCCTGCAGAATATTGATGTGTTTGATTATGGGGATGTTAATGGCATATTGCTATCTTAACTTTCTAACATCTGAAAAATTGAATTAAAAAACACATCTAGCCCAAGGGTTTTAGGTGAGGAATTTGAGGACCTGTAATATATGTAAAACATAGATATAGGAGATAATGTACATAAAGGGCCTCCATAGCACAGGGACAAGCAGGCACGGTGTAAGGGCTCGGAAATTACAACTATTGACAAAAAGAGAGAGTGAGTTGCCTTAGATATTAGAAAACAAGAGATGAGGGAAACGGAAACATCTTATAGGAAATACCTGTTTTCTATCTCTGGCCTCCCAAAATTCTTATAATCATATTTTTGGAAAATTTGGTCATGATTTAATTTTTCAAAGTGTGATCATGCTTTTAAGTCATTGGCTTTGCCATTGTTCTCACATTTACAGCAAGAAGAAGAAAACTCTAAATATTTGTTATAAACACTAGCAAAGACAGGTTTGGGGAGATTCTGGAAGAGGGAACAGCACAGGCAGGGGCCTGGTAGAGTGGAAGAGGTGTTCAGATAAGGGACATAAACTGCTCAATGTCTGAAACCCAGGGAGCATGGCACCAAGTAGCAATAAACGAAGCCAGAGGGGTGTTTGGGAGAAATTTGATGAAAAGCCTTAAATACCATAGTAAGCTTGTATTTTATCCTGTACATCAGGAGTTTTCAAACTATTTTGGCAAGAGAATTTTATTGAGACAAACTTTGGTTGGCGTGGGAGTTCTGTGTTCTGCAACTACACACCAACCTGTTTTTACTCTGTGGCTCAAGTGCTTTTTCAAAAGAGAAAATCTGATCATCTCGCTCCTTAGGACACACTCTTCAAAGATACCTCATCAAGCTTGGAGTTAAATGGCATCTCCTTGCAGGCTCTGGGTGATGTGGCTGTGCCCGCTCTCCAGGTCATCTCACACCACTTCTCTGGCTTACCATTTGTAGGCTTTCCAATGAGCCCTGGCCCTCCCCACTTCAAGGATTTTACAAAGGAGGCCCTCTCCCTTGCTTCTCCCTCTCTCTGGCCTGGTTAGCTTCTTCTCTGTCAAGTCTATGCTTAGTCATCTTTCCCCAGCTTGGTCAGGACCCCCTGTGTATACCCTCCCATGCCCTGTGGACTCCTCCACTCAGCACTTAATCACAGTTGTGTTAAATGATTAAATGGGGATTTAGTTGTGTGATGCTTTCCTCCCACTGTACTGTAAATTTTGAGAATGGGAAGTTGTCCCATCTGTCTTGTTCGTGACAGTGTTCCTGGCCAGTGTCTGGCCACTAAGTAGGCCTCCGACAACTATTTGTTGAAAATATACCAGTAAATACAACAAGAAGGCAGATGGGGGAAGAGGCTGTTCTGGTTGAAATGAGGATAGATCCTTTGTTTGAAGCAAGAATGTGGGGCCTGGACTACTTCCCACTAGGGCTTCTCCTTGCCTTCCACAGGAGTCCCTGAGGCCCTTCTCGGTGGGAAACACTGTGAAAAGCACTGTGGGATACTCTGACTAATAAAAGGCTTTGTTATCTGGCTTTGGGGTGAGAGTAAGTGTTCTCAAGAGTGTTCTCTTGGCCTGAAGAAACTTTCTGCTTGATGGTCAACAGGATGGATAAATGATCAAAGTAGCTTTGTGTAGACAGGAAGCATATTTCATTCATTTATTTCAACATCTCATCTCCCTTGGGTGGGGAAAGACTATAAAAGACATATGTAGACTGGTCTGAATTTTAGCCTTTTGTGCAAGACAGGGCGTAGAGTCGACATTTCTTTGGAAAGTCATCTTGGCCTAGGCCCAGACCATCAAGAAAACTGCCTCTGTACTCGGCAGATCTGTGCACGCTTGGCCCCATTCCTAGGTGTGAGATCATGTGACACAGGGCAAATTGTGTGACTCTATCACTCGTTCAGTGTGGTCAGCTGGGATGGAGTCAAGGGCTCCCTTTATCTGTTTAATAGGGTAAATCAAAGTAAAAATTACCTTTTGATTGAGTAGCGTTGCTGAAGAAAATCAATAGAAATGGCAGGAGATCCACTGGCACTGTCTCAACGTCCAGTGTAATAGATTTTCAAATTACTGGAACACTGGGTTTTGGGATTCAACTTCTGTGAAACCGGCTAAAAAGTAAGTAGCAGGGTGGGTTAAAGGAGAAGCAGCATGTCTGTGTGATCCTAATTAAAGAGAAAATATGTGCTGGCCAAAAGTAAGTCATTTTTCAACCTCAAAATATTCTTTCTAGATTCTAAGAGACTGTGTTTGACATGCTTAAGAGAGAAATATAACAGCTGAACTTGTCTTTGTTCCGAATGTAGGAGACAGTTTTGTCTAGACTTTCAGGGAAGATATAGAATGACATTTTCAGAACAAATCAAAATATATTTTTAAATTCATTTTTTTCTCCTTCAGGAAGAGGATTTGACATGCTTCTCTGACTTGAATTTGGTTGATCTACACCAAATGGTCTCCATAGTTTGATACAAAACTAGAGTAAAATGAACCATTGAGAAAAGTTATTGAAAATGCTGTTAGTTCACTTTCTTCCCTTAACATTAGCACCACCACCACCAACACAATTACTACTATTTATTGAGTAGTTCCTAGGTCATGTGCTAAGCTCTTAACATATAGTTTCTTATTTAGTTCTCATAGCAATCCCATGAGGTAGGTATTATTATTAATGTCAATTTTCCAATGAAGAACCTGAGGCACAGAGAGGTGAGGGGACTCACCTGAAGCCACACAGCCACAGCACGGGTGGCCAGGCAAGGAACTGACATCCCCCAAATCTGCCTTCTTCATCACTGCACTGTGTCTTCTTTCCCCACAGGGCAAGCATCGTACAGAAACGCATCATTTATTTTCAGGATGAGGGCTCTCTGACCAAGAAACTTTGTGAACAAGGTAAGAACATGGGGATGGGAGAGGGCCAAGTAGGTGGAAGGTGGCTCATTCAGTGTGAACATCTGGCCTCGGGAATTAAGATGATTGGGCTTTCTCAGTTCCTCCAGGTCCTGCTTCCTCACGTAGCTCCAATTTTTAATCAGGCTGTGTGCTGTGGATAATTGGATCCGCCTTAAGCTCTAATTACCCAGCTTGATTCCCTGGGTAGGAGATAATGTACCTTATATTGGTGTCGTCTTTTTATTTTTGTGAAACAGTGATTATTCTGAAGAGGTTCCTTGGAATAATTCACAGGACTTAATTAAGGAATGCACAATTGTGTACCTTTAAGAAGTTTTAATGGTTTTTCAGAGTAATCACCAGCAGAAACTTGGGTGGCACCTGGACAATATGGGGGAATCTTCTCTAGGGAAGACCAGAGGGAGATGGGGTTGCCAAGAGGGAACTGACCTTGTGATTTCACCACATTCGGGGATCTGGTCCTTAGATTTGCAAGTTCATCGTCACCCTCTCCATGGATTGAAGGCATTCTAATGAAGCCCATGCAGAACAAGCAGACTGGGGAGGTCAGAGCAGAGGCCTGGATTCAGATCTGACCTGGGTTTAAAGCCTGCCTCTGCCCTTCCTAACCATCTGACTTAATATATGTAAAATAGTACCACGCCTCCTTGGCACATAGTAAATGCTATCTATAAGTATTAGTTATTGTTATCCATATCTGAAAGCTTGTTTATTAATCTACTGTAAAAAATGAAGATCTTAAACATCTGAATGTGTTTAGAAGTCACTAAAGAACTAAATAAAAATAGAAAATCTTCTATAATTATACATCTTTATCTCATTTCTATTCATTTTTGCAGAATTTTATTTGCACTTCAAGTCATTAGCATTTTGAGAAGAAATAATCCTCTCTAATTCTAGCAAATCATAAACCACTAAGAAAAAGAAAGGTTGATAAAGGTCTTCTGGGGAAAAATATAAAAATAGGTAGTATTTTTTTAGTGCTTGCTACATGTCAGGAACTATTCTAAGCACTTCACATACCTTAATCACATAAACTGCACAACCCTATATGGTAAAAACTACTATCTCATCCCTGTTTTATAGATGAAAAGCTTGCCCAGCATCAAACAGCTAGTGGTAGAGGTTAGGGTTTGAATCTAAGAGCCATTGCCCTTAACCACTTCCTTTCGATCGAAGGGTCTACCTCCCTGCTCAGTAGCATGCACTATTGCCTTTGGTAGAGCAAAGCATACCAAAGCACAGGTTTCCCTAAAGATAAGCTAGAACAGAAATTAGGTCCTATTTGGGGGCCAGGGGGGTGCATGCTGAGCATGGAAAAAGTAAAAGGGGGGAGGTTAAATACCCTGCATTAGGGCCACACCTGCCATAGGCCCGAGAATGGAACCTGTGGGTCAGGACCCTGGTCAGCTTCCAGGTGGGCATCACCACACATGGCTCTTGGGCTTTCCTTTCCTGTATTTAACTGTCCACACGTTCACTCAGCTTTTCTTCAAACAGTGAACTATTGAGACCCTTGGTTCCTAAAGGGGAATCCCATCTTGCCCTGCCTCCACTAGATGACATTGAGGTCCCATGGGATAGAGTTGTGGGTTTTCTGGATCACACATTAACAGGCCAGCTCTTGGTTTATACCCACAGATGACTAATCACAACCACTGGGGTATGGTCTTTTTAGTTTGACTATCAGAGGACAGCCTTATTTCCCAGATTTGAGGGTTCTTAGGAGACACTTGACTGACACTCCTATGTACTGATAGCAATCCTTAACTAAGTGCACTTCCCAAAGTCTCAATCCTTGTCTAGCTATGAATTTGCTAAAATTCTGCAGATATAGTGTCAAGAGCATGGCATTGCAAGTCTCTATTGTTAACACTTCTGAAGCTGAGATCCTATAGCATGGATACATGGAACAGACTGACAGAGGTCAGAGGGGAGGTGGAGGGAGGGGACTGGATGAAAGAAGGTGAAAAGATTAACCGAAGAACATATATGCATAGCCCAAGGACACAGACAACGGTGTGGTGATGGCCAGAAGGGGTGG